CTCTATGGGAACACCAGTTGAGAGTTCATGTGAGGTTTTCATTATGATTGTTATTTTATGTTTTGGGGTACTAACTAGGTTTTGTTGTTGTTGTTTTTAATAGCACTTCAAACGACAGAGAGAAATACTCAGTTCAGTAGAACAATCATAAACAAAATTTAAGCTATGTATTATGTAAGGCTATGACCTTGCCTGCTTCCAGAAGACTGTAAGACACTGAAAAAAGAAGTGGGGGCAGAGAAGGAGCAAGAGAGGTGACGCAGTAGTTAGGAGCCCTGAGTGTGATTCCCTGCACCCACAATGGGCAGCTCACAACTGCCCGCGTCAAACAGCTTCTTCCGGCTCCTGAGAGTACCTTTATACATCCATGCATGCATGCACACATACGTACACACACAAACATACAATAAAATGATAAAGTTTATAACAGAAGAAATAGAACATCACTGTGAGAAGACACTTTGTTTAGAGGAAACAGAGTAGAAATTAAAAAGAGGCAGAAGAAACATGGAATTAGTTAACTGTTAAAGAGTTGAATACAGCCAGTTGGTGGGGTACACGCCTGGAAACTCAGCACTCTGGAGGCAGACGTAGGTGGATCTCTCTGACAGCCTACTCTGCAGAGTGAATCCACGACAGCCAGAGCTACACAGAGAGACCCTGTCTCAAAAAGCAAAACAAAAGAGTTGAATAAAGAGGCTGTGGGTGACGGTCTATACCTTTAATCCCAGGCGCCAGGGTGGTGGGTGGATGGCCTACATAGTTCCAAGCCAGGGAAGACTGCACGATGAGATGTCTCAGAGAGACAGAGAACTGAATGAAGGAAGAAGGGAGAACCGAAGAAGAGTTAAGAAGAATCCTGAGGGTCTGGGCGTGGCTCAGTGGGTGAAGTGCTTGTCACAGGGTCCCATATAAGGGCTAAGCATGACACAAAGCAGGGGAGGCTGAGACAGGCAGATCCCTGGGGCTGGCAGCCAGGAGGTCTACCTGAATCTGTGAGCTCTGGGTCCAGAAGGAGACACTGTCTCAAAAGGAGGGTGATCAGGGAAAACGTCCGCCTCTAGCTTCCATCCTCACGGGTAAGCATGTGTACTTACACACGTGTAGATATATAAATGTGCATGTACTCAGATGAAAAATGATAAGGGACTAAAGTCGAGAAACCAAGTGCCCTTGGGGTATCCTCCCACGGATTTCCATATACAGTTTAATGACTCTGTATTTCCTGTGTAGCTGTTCTGATACGAGGTTTTTCAGCTGTTAAGTGGAGTTCCCTGCAGGGACACTTTCTCTAGTAACCTGTCTCTTTTTCCCACAATCAGGTGAGAATGAAATCCTGGAAACTCTGCATGCCATTGCAAGCAAAAACCAGATCTGGAGATCGTATATTGGCATGGGCTATTATAACTGCTCAGTGCCCCAGACCATTTTGCGGAACTTACTGGAGAATTCTGGATGGTAATGTATCCCTAGAGAACAGGACTACTAGACTTGTGCTCCCTGTGTCTCAGAAATCTCACACTGATGCCTGCCCCCTGCTGCTCTCTAAGCTCCAGGAATCCACCTGCCTCTCTAGCTAGGAAATTCCTTGCAGGGTGTTGACCACAGATTCTTTTCCCTTTCATTTCCATGAAGTCCAGAGCCAATGATCTCTTCTGCAACAATCTGAATCTCTGTGCTGCTTTTGGACAAGGCTTCATTCCTCTTTGGTGACACCCCGAGACATTAGACTGTGTCTGAACTTAGTCACTCAGTATTGAAGCCTGGGAAACAATCTTGGGCTTTTGTCTTTTGCCAGGATTTTCAAAGAACAATGCTCATGTTCCTCTTCTCCCTACATTTCTTGGTCCCTCGCCAATAGCAGTGAAGTGACACAGAGTCAGAAGAATGGAGACGGCAACATCAGCTCTATTGGCGGCACTGTCCTGAGAAAGTGAACGTATGTCTGTGGTCTGCTCTTGCTCGGCCACCTCATTGTTCCCATCTCAACCTGCCAATCAGATAATTCAGTCCCACCCCTAGTCGCAAGACGACCTCAGGAGTCACTTCTCTTCTACCATGGGATCTGGGGATGGAACTCAGGTCATCAAGTTTGTCCAGAAAGCTGGTTGTCCCACTGAGCCATCCTGCTGGTTTTGTCCCATGTTTACCGGAACCCCGTCTGCTCACACCCTCATTCATGCCTGCCCTCCACCCTGTGTGGAGAGTCGCACTGCAATATATTCTATTTCCTTGTTAATAAGAGAACAGGAAAGCAGGCCCATCAACAGAGCGAGTGTTTCAGTTTCTCGGAGGCGCATGAATGTGGTTTGCTTGCTTTTGTATTGCCGAGGCCTTTTCACCGTGGCTCTGGTGAAAGTTTGTGTGGTAAACTCTTAGGTTGATTTCAAAAGCAAGTAGCCGCTGTTCTCTCTTCCCTCTTAAAAAATCAAAGCCTGTTACTGCCCATGAATGGGTTGCAGCGCTCTCTGCCTGAGCTCTGCCTGTGGCCTTTGCTCTTAGTTACCATACAGAAATATCTGCCATATTTCTGTCTGGCTGTATGCTAATTAATGTGGGGGCAGCCGGTGTTTTGAGAGGGAGACAATGCTCTGTTTTTTTCAGTCTCTGGCCTTGTGCGCATTTTAAATGTTGCTGTTTTGCATTACCCAAAAGCTGCTCTGAACCCTAGGATCCTGCACCCTGCCCTGCTGATAGGCAGGGCTGTGAGCACATGGGTGGGAGACACATTATACTTCTGAATGGTTTCCATAGCGATGGAGCCAACAAATTCCGGTGACGTGAGGTGAAAATAAATGGGTCACATAGACTAGAAAGAATACAAACATTTGGGCTCTCAAAAGAGACTGTATGCTGGGTCTAGAGTTTGTCTCATGTGGTCCACTATTCCAAAGTCTCAATTGCCCATAACATCAATAATGAGTAATGACATTTGCATTTTCCTTGTGGCTTTCTGATTTTTATAATCTTGGCAGTCAGATTATATGAGTTTATGAACCCTCCTGAAAGCCCCTTACTTTTTCCCAATTCTAAAAGAAGGTAATAACCAAAATGATAGAGAAAATTGATTATTTTGGAATAAATGTCAATATCATGTCCAGTATATTGCCAAGTAACCTATTTCAGAACTATAAGCCTTCTTAGATATGGAGATACTTTTAAAATACGTATATTAAAATGCGTCTAGAAAAACAAAACATTTGAATTAACGCCAATTAAGACATACCCATGAAGCTGGGTGGTGGTGGTGAATACCTTTGATCCCAGCACTCAAGAGGCAGAGGCAGAGGCAGGTGAATCTCTGTGAGTTCAAGGCATACCCATGGATCACAACTACCATTTTTTCCTCTTTTAATTCTTCCTAGTACCTGAGATTGAACGCTCATCCTCACACATGTCACCGTGAGGGACCACTGAGCAACTTTTGCACTTCCGCAGACAATTTTTTGTTTGTTTTTAGTATTTGTTTTTCAAGACAAGCTTTCTCTGTAGCTCTGTAGAAAAGACCAGGTTGGCCTCTAACTCACAGAGATCTGCCTGTCTCTCTGTCTCCTGAGTGCTTGGATTAAAGGCATGTGCTACCACCGCCCAGCTCAGACAATTGTTTTTAAACACATTTTTGTTTCCTGTATATATGGCAACAGCTCTTTGGTGACATCTTTTAAAATCTTTTTTTCCCACTTTTTTATTATATATTTAAATTAGAAACAAGCTTGCTTCCCATGTCAGTCCCAGCTCCCTCTCCCTCCCTTCCATGCCCACTCCCTCTCCCTAGCCCCCCACCCAGTCCCCACTCCATTCCCCAGGAAGAGTAAGGCCCTCCATGTCTGTGATTAATTACAGCATGTGCCATCACACCTAGTTTTTACAGCATCTCATTATTTAGCTCTAGCTGGTCTGGAACTTGTTATGGAAAAGGCAGCTGTTGTCCACTGTTGTTCAAGAACAACAGCTGTAAGGTAGAACTGCACATGTCTTTAATCAAAAGAATATTTTGGCCACACCTTTAATTCCAGCACTTGGGAGGCAGAGGCAGGAGGATCTCTGTGAGTTCAAGGCCAGCCTGGTCTACAGATGGAGTTCCAGGATAAGTTCCAAAGTTACACAGAGAAACCCTCTCTTGAAAAATCAAAACAAACAAACAAAAAAACAAATAAATCCTCCAAAAGCAAACAAACAAAACATATTTTGGCATTTTGATAGATCTTTTTTTTAACTTAGAAATTTTCTTATGTATGTGTTTATGTTTCTATGTGTAGCTGGTTGCTAATCTTGACAATGTTTCCATCCTCATTATCCCCTGTGTATTTGTTCCAGATAACAACTGTCTTGATTCTTTTAAAGAATTAGGTTTAGTGGTGGTGGTGCAGTCCTTTAATCCCAGCACCCAGTAGGCAAAGGCAGGTGGATCTCTGAGTTCAAGGCCAGCCTGCACCTACAGAGTGAGTTCCAGGACAGTCAGGGCTACATAGAGAAACCCTGTCTCAAAAAACCAGAAGAAAAAAAATTAGATGTAGCTGGGTGTGGTGGAGTATGTCTTTAATCTCAGCTCTGAGAATTTAATCTCTTGATTTGGAAACTATCCTAGTCCACAGCAGACAGTTCCAGGCCAGCCAGAACCACACAGTGAGACCCTTTCTAAAAACAAAAAACAAACGAACAGAAAGAAAACTTGTCCATGGGATAATGTTAACTGAAGAAAACAACAGGACCTCACACAGACTACAGTTCTGCTTCTTACAAGTGTGAATGTGGTTATTGTGTGGAATAGAAGCTGCAAAGGACACCTAAATGCTCACTGAGTTATCTTGAAGTTTGGGGATTTGGGATGCTCTTGCTTCTCTGACCCATTCCAATGAACATGCTTAGCATGCAACAACAACAACAAAGAGGTAATCCAGAATTCCTACACAGAGAAGTTGGTTAACAAATTGTAGCAAATGTCTTTGACATGGGACATGAAGTAATACATTTAATAATGGTTTTAGTGTCACCACCTGGTGCTCACCTCTGCAGCACATATACCAAAAATGGAGTTACACAGACAAGACTAGCATTGTGCCTGTGCAAAGATGACACACAAATTGGCCAAGTGTTTCATATTTTAAATGACACGGGCTTTGGGCTTTTTGACTAAACCTCGTTTGTTAATGTTCGATAACAAGCTCAAGTTGTTGGTCTGATAGGTTGGGAAACGAAAAAGATCACCCGTAGGAAAATCACTGTTTACTTTTTGGTTCATTTGCTTGCTTTTATAAACTTACAGAAATGAGACATTTTATATTTTGCATTTTAGGGTCTTTTATTTTATTTGTTTGAGTTAATACTCTACTTTTAAAAACTAATATATTAAAAACATCATCTCATGTCAGGAATATTTATAGCATCGTTTTCACTGACTTAAAGCATTGTGTGCACGTGGTTTAATTTGACTCCCCATTCCTCTTTTAACAGTTACATAGCTTGTTACTCATCTTTTTCTACCGCATTTATTACCATGCTGAATTCTTTTGGAATAGTTCTTTCTCCTAGTATATTCTACTGAAAATATATTCTGTCTTTCCTGTTCATCATTTGGGGTAGCTGGTATATGCACATATTCTTCTGTCTGACTGCCTGTCTAAATCTCAAATGATTTGCTCTGAATACAATCAAAGTATCCTGTTGGGCAGTCAGTCTAAGCATATGGCAGGGACAGTGTCTCATCTGTCTTCATAATAGCAAACTGTGTGTGATGGTCTTGTCTGGCTGGAAATCACCACTGCCTCATTGTCTAGGCTTTTGTGTGACCTCCTTTCTCTCGTGCTCCTTTTCAATTGCCTGCCCTGTGTACTGTATTATATGAGTCACTCATTACAGGTCACCACTCAGTTAGAATTTGCCTTTACAATTGCAAATCCAGGCTGTTGAGGGAATTAACTGAAGTAACAATGTGCTCTGCTGCACACACACACACATACTTACACACACACACACACACACACACACACACACACACACACACACAGAGGGGGAGAGAGAGAGAGAGAGAGAGAGTTACAGCAGTAAAAGGTTCAGAAAGTTATTTCAAAGTGCTGATGTAGTACTGTGTGCTAAGACTGTCTTCAATGATAATCCATGTTAAATAAAGCCAACCTAATGATGCTTTCAAAGCCTGTGCATAATTACCAGGACAGGAGAAAAAAAGAAAAGGATATAAAAGTCATAAATAGATCACTTAAACCTCTTTCGGTTTGGGGTCTTAGTATTGCTGGGATAAGACACCATGACCAAGGCAACTTATAGAAGAGTTTATTTGGGGGCCTTACAGTTCAGAGGGTGAGTCTATGACCCTTATGACAGCAGGTGGGTAGGCAGGCATGGACTTTGAGAGCAGCTTATAATAAAACACATGCAGATGCCCTGGGGAAATAGCTCTGTCAAGTGTTTGCAGAGGACCTGAGTTCAGATCCCCGGCACCCATGTAAAAGCAATCAATCCCTGTGCGGAGGTAGTAGGTGGATCCCTAGAGTTCATGGAGCCGAGCTGACTTGATGAACTCCAGTTTCAGTGAGCGTTCCTGTCTCAAAAGATATGCTGCATAACAACCGAGGAGGACACCCAACATTAATCTCTGCCCTCCACATCCTCAAACAACACATACGAAATACATGTATACAGTAAGATAATTAAAATATTGATGTAACAAAATATAATTTAGAGAGCTGGGCCTGGTGGTGTATGCTTATAGTCCTAGAACTTGAGAGACCAAGAAGGAGAGCCAAGCCCCATTTAAGGTCAGTCTGATCTACCAAGTGAGTGACAGGTAGCCTGAGCTATATAGCAAGATCATGCGTTTAAAAAATAGTAAAACAAAATGTCAGGAGCTAAAGAGCACATGTTGGTTGCTCCTGCCGAGGACTCAGATTTGGGTACCATTACCCACGTGGTGGTTCACAAGTATCTGTAACTCCAGTTCCAAGGAATTTGATAACCTCTTCTGACCTCCATGGGCACTAGACACACATGTAGTGCTCAGACACACATTCAGGCAAAGCATTCAGACATGTAAAATGAAGCAGGTAAGTCTAAAAAGAACATGCAGAGGGAAAGTAAGTACTGGTTGTGCCTAAAGGATAGTATCACATCTATGACAGTTCTGTCCTTCCCCATAAAACCCAAAGAAAATATGCCATTAATTGGCTTTTTATTGCTGTGACCAAATACTCAGCATAAGTAAGTCAGGGGTGGATGATTTGTTTTGGCTCAGGGTTTCATCTGTTTGTTTGTTTAGTGTGTTGGGGTCGGGGGCTGTGCTCCCTGGGACCTGTGCTGGGCATGCAGAAGGAGGTAGGGATACTCGCCAAGTCAGTTATCTCTTGCCATTTGGGTGTCAAGGACTGAACTCAGGCTGACAGGCTTAATGGCAAACACCTTTACCTGCTGAGCTAGCATCTGCCCATGCTCACAGGTGTCAGTCTGTCATCATCAGGAGGGGAAAGAGCAGTTGTGTCCTGGCAGCTAGGACCCCGCCTTCTTTTTCAATCCAATCGAACCTATTGGATGATGCTGTCCACATCCAGGGTGAGACTTTGTCCAAGTTCTAGCTGGGTCTTCTACCGCAGCAAAACCCTTCTAGAAACTTCCACACAGACATACTCAGAGGTGTACTTTATTGATTTTTCTAAGTGATTTTAAGTCCAATCAAATTGGTCATCTCAGAATCCTACTGGTCGATGTGTTACGTAATTCTCAGGAGATTTGGGCGTTGAATTTGCAAACAAAGGGATGCCATGCGCTTTTCCGGATAGGAGCGGCACAGTTTGAACGTGATCTTTTGTTCCCCTCTCAGGGTCACCCAGTACACTCCGTATCAGCCAGAGGTGTCTCAGGGGAGGTTGGAGAGTTTACTCAACTTCCAGACCATGGTGTCTGATATCACAGGTTTGGACATGGCCAACGCCTCCCTGCTGGATGAGGCGACTGCGGCTGCAGAGGCGATGCAGCTGTGCCACAGGTGAGAGGCTCAGGGGGGGAGTCGCTCCAGGACGAGGCATCTCCTAGTCCCCAGCATCTCATGTGGTGTTTCACAGATAAATGCAGAGTTTGCAACAAAAAAAATGGTAACAGTAAAAGTTTTTTTCTGAATGTGGGGCAACCAAAATTAAAATAAAACACTAGTGAATCTGAGGTAGTTCTGGCAGAGCTTGCATTATCTGACTTCATTGCAGCCTTGGTCCTCAATACACATGACACATGCACACTTTGTACCTCACATACCTTCATGTCACACACCACCAACAAATGCTACCTGAACATCTCAGCAAAGGTTCAAGGTTATTGCGTGTATTGTATGTTATGAGTTACAGGAGTGGGGTTTTTGTTTTTGCTTAGTTTTTGCTTTTGCTTGCTTGTTTTTGGTCAAACCTCAGGCACCCTAGGCTGGGGATGATCTTGAACTCCTGATTCCCCTGCCTATAGTCTCAAGTTTAGGATTATGGGTATGAGCCACCATGACAGACTAAACTACAGTGTTTTTTACTGTACGCATAAAGTCTTCTGCTCTCATAGAAACATGATAGTTCCATTACAAAAGACAAAGTCTTAATGTTTTCCTGCTATAATTCCTCAGCATGTACATGCTAAATTAGTATACCTTTGGGTTGCACTGTGTTAGAATGCTTGATTTCAAAATGTGCTGTTTCATTTACTGACGAATGTCAGAAAAAAATTGTAAGATGGATGTTGACTTGGTAAAGACAGAATTTGAAACAATTTGAGTGGCTCTAAATGCACTTCTGCCATATTGTATGTACTATATCAAGAGGCCATCTCTACATTTTTCATAATCAAATATTCAGTCAAGACTTAATTCTTTAAATAAAAATAAGCATGTCTACCTCACTAATGTGCAGATTGTACAGATTTGATTGAGCAGCTGGGCCAAGTATCCCAACAGAAAATTAATTAAATAGATAAATTTGCTTTTGTTTTTTATCAGTTGACATCTGTCTGTCTAGCTAGATATCAGGGTTGTTTCAAAATAAATTTCTTTATGCTTTATTGTCAGTAAATGTTTGATTTGGATGTGTATTTAATATACATATATGCCTTTATTGTGGAAAGATTTATCTGACAAAATGAGATATGAGTTGAAAAAGTCTAAGAAGCCCTGGTCTTAGACTCTCCTGCTGCATGCATGAAGAGGTTTACCAACTCTCTCTTCCTTTCTCTCTCTCTACCCTTCTCTCTTTACACACACACACACACACACACACACACACACACACACACACACACACACGTGTGCACACATACATTTATATATATCAAAGATAATAGTATATGTTAATAAGAAAAGTCCATTACAATATTTTTTAAGCTTTCTAATTGCTTGATAGGAAAACATTGCTTTCCTTGCATAAGTCCAAAGTTGACTTATAGAACAACCTTGAGATGTTATCAAGGACACACTAGCCATTTACATATCTTTTTGGGTACTGTTCTCAGCTTTTTATTGATTTTTAAGAATTTTGTTCCCTCCTTCTAAATCTTAAAACTGTTTTTATCTTTTCAGGCAGGAGCTCATAGTCCAGGCTGTCCTGGAACTCACTGTAGAGTGAGGATGACCTTGAACTTCTGATGTTCTTGTTTTCGTATTCCAAGTGATGGAGTTACAGACACGTGCCACCACACCCAGTTTATGTCACACTGAGGATCAAGCCCAGGGTCTCATACATGCTAGGCAAGCACTCTACCAACTAAGCCACATCCCAGCCCCAGTGATGGCTTTTATTGCACACTCACAGAAATGAAGGTGTTTAGTCTTTGCTTACTCAATTGTTTGGACTGAGGGTTTCCTCTCTGCCCTGCATGACTTGCATGAGCTGCTTTGCCGTAATGGGATAGTTTCCCTCTGTAAATGCTTGCCTCTTCCCTCCTTTCTTCTTGGGTCTGCATTTAGATTAGTTTTGTAAAGCAGCCTGAAGAGTTTAAGTCTGTGTGCTTTTCACCTTTAGAAGTCATTGTAAACTAGGGTTGACTCTAGTCATTGAGTCCCTACTAACATTTTTCTCCAATTTGTTTTCATTCAAACTGTGGGAAGTATGTTTTTTAATCTCCCCAACT